ACCTTAGACCCTTATGATAGTAAAACCTTGTACAGTTCGTGTCCAGCTCATAACTTTTGTACCATAAAACAAGGTACCAAACTTAGTATACAGTTGCATCATAGGATTGGGATGATGTATTACATTCTAAAGTCAGATCATTCTGACTTGCATTGACCTATGACGATTTTGATAGGAAAACCTTATCCAATTGCATGTGTCCGACTCATAAGTTTGTACTTCAAAACTCAGGTTAACAAAACTTGGTATCCAGTTGCATAATTGGCTTGGGTTGGTTCATATACAAAAGACATGTCACTATGACCTTGACTTTAACCTTTGATCTCTATGATAGCAAAACCTGAGCAAAATCGTGTGCTTTTGTTATCTTTCGTACCGTAAGACTTAAAATGACCAAACTTGGTATGCAGTTGCATCATTAGCTCATAGTGTGTCAAATACCATAATCAGGTCATCTTTGACTGATATAGTCAATCCTTCTGTGATTTGTGTCCAGCACATAACTTTTGAACCATAGAACTTAGGTTGTCCAAACTTGGTACAATGATTCATCATATGATGGGTGTGTGTTTAAAATATCAAGGTCAAGACACCCTGATCTTTAATTTGACCTTTGACCTCTGTGATAACTTGACCTCTATGATAACATTGTTTGATTTGTGTTTTGGTTCATGCCTTTTGATATCTAGCACTTACATTGACAACACTTTGTTAGCGGAAGCATCATACTAACATTCACCTTGATCTTTGATTTTTGAATTTGCAGTATAAAAACCTCAGACTTTGTTCCTAGGTCAGTATAATTCTTTCAGATTGGCGTATCAGTAGCCATGTGCAAAATCAGTACAGAGGCACAGCTTATATAAAAGGAACAACTGAAAACCAAAGATCTCAAAATGTTATTTCCTCAATACTGAAGTTCACGACAGCAACTAAACAACGAGTACGGGGTATTAGTCCCGCTATGCTGACAGCTCTAGTTTTAACCAATTTAAAGCTCGTTTAACTGTGTTCCCGACTGTTCCCTTATTTCTGGGTTTCAAACCAAAGTATTAACCTTTTAGTTTCAATGTGTTTCTGAAAAATATATGTAATCTACATTTCCAATGTAACAATTTCATAACAAATAAAAGATGAATACATTAAAATTGATTTATTTAGGTTGGGATTCACCATATCCTAATTGGATGTGTTCTATTAGATGATGACATCAACAGTTGGAAAACACCAATAGTCGTGAAGGAAAAACTACAACGTTATAAAAGGTATCTGTACAAACACATCATTAATAAGACAACTTGTTTCATATTTCAAAGTTGTATGTACTTTCTATGAATATATACAAACACAACTGTACACATAACAAATCTAATATGCAAAAAGTACTATAAGATAACTGAAGTTTAACAATTTCGCACTCAACCAAAAGACAAATATTTCTAATTAGAGAAAGCTCTAAATTCCTGGGTTATAGTAATGCATACAAGAGAAAAGACTGCCATTTTAATAAGCAGATTATTTCTAAACAAACAGAACTTAAGATGATATCACGGTGGGTTTTGTTAATTTATGAAACAGATTTGTTTATGCTTGTATATTTAGTTTATTTTAATGTGTATAGCATGTGTAGTTTATTTACAATAACCTTCTAGGAGATCTAATTACTTATCTTTTATAACGTTTAAACATCAGTGCTTTTACTGAGAGAGCTATTGCCATAACAAGCAGCATTTACGGGAAACATAAACAAAATGAGGAGAATGCTTTACAAGATGAGCAAAGAAAGAATAGATTGTGTAACACTATCAATCATGCGGAAAGGCTATTGTTGAATCACGGATATTTAAGGGATGCTATTACCACTGAAAACAATGTGTTCCTGAAAAATGAGACAGTCAAGACAATCTTAAACGAAAAGTGGTATGGTACAGAAAATATAAACCTGCTGACGGTAAGAAAATGATATGACAATTTGTATTACTATGAACATATTTTACAAGGATATTCTCACATATTGGAATATAGCTATAAATGGATAAACACCAGTTACAAATTTAAACAAAAACGGTCATTTTGAACTGTTCCGCTTTCAAAAATTATATTGTGTAAGTCAAATTCGATATTTCTGTCAATTTTCAATCTTATCAATTGCGGTGATTCTAGTTCTTTTGCCAAAGTTCGCTTGCAGTCCATTTACACCTTTACTAGCAATGCTCACACTGTTCAGTAATTTATATTTACAAAACACCAACATACTGACACCTGATTTTTGCGGCAGGCCAACTAGTACAGTCTTGATGGTCCTTACTTTTCAGCTACAAAAAGTAACTTAAACTCTTAACAAGAACTGTTGTTTTAGGGAAAAACCTGTAACATAACGGAACACTATTCCACGACACTATTTCAAAAAGCGAAGATGATTAAACGCAAGCATCATAAAGCACTTCATTTTAACACATTAATCATTTGAACAAACGATCTGCCTTATAATATAATATATATATATATAATAACCCCGCGCAGAAATACGGGACATTTTTAATGTAATACATTGGATTTAAATATAAACTACGTAAGGACAACATGTATAATATGAAAAAACCAAAATGGGTAACATTTCTCAACTACAGGATGTTAAAAACAAAAGTATAAAGTGATTATCATGTATACAAGTAATAAGTTAAACAAACGATAAGGCAAGACGGTTAAATTTTTCTTCACAATAGCGCGATGTTAGCCTCTCAACCTCTTGCCGCTGTGTAACGAATGAATAGCATTATGTGTACAGTATACAATTGTAGAATATGTAGATAGATTACATTTTAATGTGCATTTCCAAATTTGGCATTTTTTTGTGTCATGTAATGGACCGATGTTGATGTCATTGTAATTTGTTAAAATTCCTAAATCTCCCAATACATTGTTAAAAAGGTGAGCATGAAATAAGGCTATTACAAATGATAGCAAACAACCCTACGAAGAAAGCGAGCTATCTGTCAAAGTGTCTTAGAGAAGGTCCGTTCAAAAGCTGTTTTTGCGTTAGGATGATAAAAAAGTCAAAGTCCATTTTATGTCAAACAGTCTACGAGTATTGATGTATTCCGGACTGATGAACAAATGGACTGACGCATGAACGAAGTGAAAGAAAGAGAAATAGATACTGGAGCAGAATATTATTGCCATATCTTCCACGGCGCACGTGCAAATGTCAATAATTTATTTAATCAAGCATTGGCTTTTCCAATATTATATTTCCTAATCAAGTATCAAGTGCTTTGTATCAAAACTGTATCATAAAGTGTATATGAAAAAATAATGTCTTGGTTGATAAGATAAAGGACACGGACGTCTCTGAGCGTGATAATTTGGAATGTCTTGATTGATTGATTGATTGATCGATTAGTGTTTACTGCCACTTTCAGCACTATTGCGCTATTTCCTGGCCGTCAGTTTTCATTTGGTTGAGAATGCCGGAGTGCTCGCAGAGAGACAATGACATTCGGAATTAATAGTTAACATTTAGTACGGAAGAAATGTGCAATTAAGTAGAGTTGATACATAAATAAATTTGCTCCGATTTAAAGAAAAATGTATTTTCTATCCATTTTTCAGATGTTCATCTTCATTGTTCTTGCTGTGTTTCATCCATTGGTGTTACCGTTCTTAATGATCAACCTTGAAAGAGGTCCTTTAAAATGGTAAAGTTACTATGTGTGTTTATAAATGCTTTAATATGCCCTATTATGTATGTTTCTTGGATGTTTAAACTTTCCTCACTGTGGATATTTTTTTTCTTAATATAATGAAACTAGACGAAGCAATATTGTAGCTTATAGTGGTATTTTGAAATCTGATATCTCATTCCGTTGTTATGTCTAACTAAATGGTATTGTTGAAGTCCGTATGTACCTGTAATAGGTCACATTAATGTCCTTTGGTCTTAACTGGATTGTTGTCTCTTTGACAATAACACCACATTCCTTGATTGTTTTATCTCACAGCTTGGATGAGACTGGCTGTTGTTTTTGTTTTTTTTGTGTTGTAAGCTTTGATTTGTTTTCAATGTATGCCTTTTAGTGATGTAATGGCATTGACTATCCGCGTCTATGTTAAGAAGAGATTAAATTTTAAATTTTGAAATTTTGATATCACTTAAATTCTGGTAAGCAAAGTTATATGAATATTATGGTAGTTTACTATGAAAAAGTAAAATAACAAAAATACCGAACTCCTAGGAAAATCTAAAACGGAAAGTCCCTACTCAAATGGCAAAATCAAAAACTCAAACACATCAAACGAATGCATAACAGCTGTCATATTCCTTACTCGGTAATGGCATTTGCTTATGTAGAAAGTGGTAGATTTAACCTGGTTTTATAGCCAGTGTAAGCCATTGTTGGTGTTGTTATTTTCTTTTTTACAGTTTATTTACGTGGTCATTTGTTTTCGGATGTTAACCGGAGTAACAAGACGAATTACATTTCTTATAGGAACTCGTATCCCTTTCGAGTTGAATAGCTTATTGTTATTTCCTCTTAATTAATCTATCGTATCTTGTACTCTTGTTTGATTTAAGTCAGAATGTTATGTTGTGTGTAATCTGATTTTAAACCTTGTATTATATTTGATCATTTTCAAATGCAAATACTTTGCTTTTTGAATCCAAGCGGATGACTGGAGTGGTTTCCTAGTGTGATGATAATATTTATTATAATAAACACCAAATTCGTAGGATTATATTACGAGGAATTTTAAAGTAGGGGTGACATAGATTTGAGCAAAAAGGCAATATGTTGGTGTCCTAAAACACCATACAATCATACATGGAATGAGTGGCTAGCTTACCGCATTGAACAACGAGTGATATTAAAAAAAAACAAATGGTAAGCCAATAAAATCAATCATTATCCCGTTAAGAAAATAAATATAACTGTACAAACCAATTTGCTTAAAAGATAAAAATGTAATAATAAACAGTTAATGATCTTTTATGCAGGTTATACAAGATATACCAGTTGCCTTTCCTGAAAGTAGTTATTCAAATGGTATGAACGTTTTATATTTTGTTTCTGTTTGTTTTTTCAAATTTAAATCTTACCAGTTTATATTTAAATTTTGAAAACGTAAAGATCAATATCAGAAGCATACAAGTGTCTGTACTCGTTTGTTATATATATACTGCAACTTTTGAATAGATTGAAAATCTTAATTTGATTTCCAAAAAATTAAATCAGATGGTATAGTCTTGTGTTACATCATTTTCCTTTCTTGAAAAAATATTTTGCTTCCAGGAATACTACCAACTTCGGCACTTAATCAAAAAGAAAGTACACAGTACGTTCTATGGCATAATTATATTAAAAAAAATTCAAACAGTATCGTTTTGTCATAAGAACTTTCTAAAGCTACGATATTCTTCTAAATAATTCAAGACATTATGGTTATACCAATATATTCTATAAATGTAAAAAAATTATTATAATTTCAAATTTTGTTTATCATTGTACATGTTGTACCAGCTGGGATTCTTAGTTGTAATTGTTGCATATGCATATATGTTGTTATTTGACTACAATGATGATGGCATTACCTCTACTGACTGGTTCATCATAGTGTGGATGGTCAGTTTTTTGGTGGATGAAATCAAACAGGTGATCATTTACGAATGAACTAACGTCATTTTGTAGTATTCGTCATGTACATGATACACAAAGGTAGTCACCTCTGATTAGATAAACGTTTTGATTTGATTTCTATTCAGTGTGTTTTATATTAATATAAAGACAATGAGTTTTACAAAAAAAAGGCCACGGTTATAAGGTATGATATTGTTTTAGTTTAGGGAAATATTTGGTCACATCAACACGAAACTTAGAACAAATGACGTTCAAAATTTTATGAACTGTTTAGGATAACTTTGCAAAAATACTATCGCAAAGGTCAATATTTAAGATAAGTATGGGCACTACAATTGTGTTTTTTTTAAATGATCATGTTAAACAAATTCGATAATTGTTATCACATTAAAGTTTAAGCTTGTCAGTTCAATCTCTTATACTAGCATACAACAGTTGATAGTTTGAATCTCTTTGTTTTGTATATTGCTTTATTTGTATACATTATTGTTTCATATTCATTTTGGAAATGCAATCACGAAACATGTTGTCATATTTTATTTTTGATACCTACTGCGAAAACATACATGTTTCAGAACAGACATTATATATAAAGAATAGCATTGTTATTTCTTCTTTTGAACCCGGAGCTTCCAATAAATGAGAAATGACAACATTGTCCTAATCCTTTAACAAACAATCGGAATAAAAAAAAAGAAAATATCACCATTAGTTTTTTTCTTTGTGAAATATAAAAAGTAACTTGAACTTGTAAATATTTTACAAGTGGGATCTTTAATCCAGAAACCAATTGACAGATCACGAAACATGTGCAAAACATTTAGCGTAGATGATGCTAACCTACGAGGTCATATTTTAGGTCATTGTTGCTTTAATAAGAGAACAAATGAAAACGTATGTAAGAGATTGGTGGAACATTTTGGATTGGTTATTCATAGTTGGATATACGTCTGGAATGCTAATAAGAGCTGGTGGTGAAGGATCTAGTTTCAAGAATACATCAAAATGTGTTTTAGTTGCGACCTTCATGCTTCTGTGTATAAGAGTTCTAAATTTATGTTGTATGACTGAGTTTCTAGGACCGAAGTTAGTTATAATTCGCAAAATGGTATGTATAGTTGGATAATACTATATTATTATACTTAAACATGATTAATTACCTTTGAATCAAAACGCATTTTAAATGCAGTAGCGCTTGCATGTTACATGATTAGGAAAAAAGAAGAAATATGAAATACTACCAAAAAAAATGTGATATGGTGAACGCTTAAACGTTCCTTCGTCCCCGTTAAGGGTCATAATCATGTTCTCCTGGATAATTTAGATTCACCTTAATTAAATGTCTGTTGATTCTTCTGGAATTGCCCTTTCAGAAAATAAAACAATTATTATACATATTTTTTTTATTTAATTTGACTGTATGTTCTTCTCTGTAACTATGTATTTGGTTTATGAGAATAAAGAACATTCAAGATGATAAAATAGAAAGTAGAAATCAGGAATAGTAAAAACTTTGTAGTTTAGTCTCACGTTTTTTTTTTTCAGTCGTTCATTATTTATCTGTTTTCTTCATGCAGTTGACAATATGTGATGTGCTTTAAAAATTATTTTCATGTTTAGTTTCACCTGAAGGTTTCTGAAAAACAAAGACAATAGTAAACATATTTACTGTGAATTGACTGTGAGCTTTGCTGTCCACTTATTCAAGTTCATACAAAATTCTAGCCTTATTGCACTTTCGTTTTTTTGGTTTTTTTTTCAAGTCAAACTGCTCAACCAGTCAGATGCTTCAACTTATTAAAGTCATCAAGTGGACGGTGGTTCAATTTAGCATACTTGCAATCCTATATGAATTTAATTCCACTTCATGGCTACAACGATAGAGTGGCCTACAATATTTTATTTAGTGCAGTTGGTCATTTAAAAGATAACTTAAAGGTTGTAAATGTTGAACTGCTAAAAAAAATATCTAAGTTGAGTTTTTGAACAATTTCATCCTAATATTTTCCACTACAGGCTTCAATGCTGTCATTCAATTTAAATCTAAAATACTCTGAAATATAATTTAAGCTAAGATATGGATCAATGACGTTTTAGAGGGAGAGAATACAGTGAGTCCAATCAATTTTGAGAATATACATTAGATTATCTCTTCCTAGAAATGTTAGCTAACAACATATCGAAACTTCACATATATTTTACTTGGTATAACATGTATAAACACAAAATAATGTGTGATTCTTGTAAATATAGAAGACGTTCTAAAGAAAATAGTATAAAAACCTTAGCATGGATATTTTCATAGTTTTTTAAAAGTCAGTACTTCTCCTTTTCAAGTGACTTTTTACAATAACAATATACACAGAAATGTATAACAAATATGTTTAAAAGCCATGAACTGTTATTGAAATCGTAATGGATGGAGTATGATTAATCTTATTACTTTGAACTTTGTTGACCTGACTGTTTTCCTATCAGTTGATGGTTAAAGTTTCTGACACATTGAACAGTTTGAGTGGAAAAAAATCATATTGTAATTCGGTTAAAATATAAAATGACTGCAATAAATGGGGAATTTGTAAAAGCGAAAACTCACTTGTTTTCCAATCCTAATATAACTCTTATTTTTTAATGTTTATGCTAATGTTTTAACAATATAATATTGTTAACACTAATTTGGCCGAAACGCTCAAATTAAATCACAGTAAATAGTATTCAGATTAAGTTTACTCTTCTGAAGACTTTTTCTCATACTGGCAAACTGTGCATATTGAAATCTAAGATATCAAATATCAAAATTAAAATGACTTGTTACTATCTTTTGAATTATTGTTTTGAACAAAAACAGTCTTAGTATTTAAGAATTAGTACATAGTTAATGTAAATACACCCTTTCCGCAAGACTTTTCTGTTATTATGAAAATATCAAAATAATGCCAATTTCTATATATCTTCTTACTATTATAGTTCACTAAAAAAATTAAACTGTATCATGGAATGTATAAAATGGGATATTCATGTCTGATTGAGTACCAGAGATGACATGTCGGTCTAAAATTCGAGCAATCCGTTAGTCACAAGTTGATTGTCGTTTCCGAATACACCTATTCTTATAAATTATCTTGCTTAGTAGTAAGAAGATGTGGTATGATTGCTAATGAGACAACTCTCCATCCAAGTCAAAATGTGTAAAAAAAAAAACAATTATAGGTCAAAGTGCGGCCTTCAAGACGGAGCCTTGGCTCACACCGAACAGCAAATTAACCCATTTCTTATAAAACGTCTTCAAAATGGAGTCGTACATGTTTTGCCATAATCTTGTCAAATCAGAACAATTAAAAAAAATCTGAGCATAGTATTCTTCTATGTTACAAAAATTACACATATTAATATTAGTTATTTTCCATTGTAATAAACGACTTTTTGTAGGTACAATAAACTGTAGTAATAATATTAAGTTTGCTTTTAATTTACTGAAATAACAAAATCAATATTAATACCATTAAAACAATATTCAAATATCTAATTACCGTGTTGACTTGGTAATTGTTTATTTTAAGTTTATTTAAAGGAGCGATAATTTACCCGGATTGTTTATAAATTTCCGAGCTCGGTAAACAACATCTCCGTTAAAATGCGTATGTGCTTTCCCATTTGATATAAAATTTCTACAGGTACAACCAAACTTCAAAACAAAATCTTTATATCTATGGAAGAATTAAATATAGGTTTTAAGTAATTTGTGGTAACGAAATCCCTGACTTAATAGTTTACCTCTAATAAATAGATTATGTTCATTACAATGAAAATCGCCACAACAGACACGGGCACAGCGAACGAGTTGTGATAAATAAATACCATAAGATGTTGCAAAAGGAACACCACCATCAACAAAGGAAACAACAGGGAACGAAAAAAGCGTTCCTTTGGTCGTAAATTTTAGTGTAGAGTTTCCCGTGTAAAACTGAAATATTTAAATCTCGGAAAGGATAGTTATGACCGTTTATCCTCTACTTATTTAAAGTAAGTTCCTTTGGGTAAATCTCGACAGTATATTTAGAAAATTGTTGATTATTTTACGAAAACATAGCATCAAGATAACTGTAATTGTTGTTGAATTTATCAATTAAATGCAATTTAGACTTGTCTTTACTGTGTTTGGTCATAAACTGTGATTCATAACAGTACAAGAGCAAGTCTGCTATTAAAGGGTTGCAATTAGTTCCCGTAGGATACCTACAACTTGACGATAAACGTAGTTGCCGAAATGTATAAATATTATCAAGGAGAAAATTAACAACTTCAATCATCTAGTCACACCTCCAGTAATAATATCTAGCATATTTACCTTTCTCATTAGAGAAGAAGTCTTTAAATGCGTTACAGCAAATATAGTTGCATTCAGATTTACCAAACGATCATTCAATTATATAGGAAAACTGTTTTATATGCGGGAATGTAGCGTAAAGAGTTGAAAATTCAAAACTGTCAACAGAATCAAAAGGACCATCAAAAACATTTAAATTATCTAAATCAACCAAAAATGTTTTACACTTCCAAAAAAGTTAATTCCACTATTTCCAAATATTTTATTTCAAAATGTAATGATACTTTCTTTGATAGTAGTTAAGGGACTAATTAACAGCACTGAAAGATAAGTTGTAGAACACTTTCTACTGGCCGAGACGGAACGATATTTTACTGGGTTGTTTTTTGTGTAATTTAGGTACTAGTAACCAGTACAAAGTAGGGGCGTTTTACTGATATATGCTAAAGGCTAGACCAACGATTCGCGGATTTTTCATTTAGCACAGTGAAAGTGTTGACCATAAGAGAAATATGTTTAACAACTAGTGAGACTTGGATATCGCTTGATATCAACTCTCGTTATTTAATTAAAATAGTAATTATAAACTCGCCACAGGCTCGTTTATTATTATATTGAAATTTAACAACTCGAGTCGATATGAAGAGATATACAATTCTCACTCGTTATGAAACCTATATATCCTCAACATTCATACATTTAATTAAATAAGAATCAAAAGATTTTATATCCGATTTTTTCCGTTTACACCATTTCTTAGAATACGATGAAAGAGCGTCTTTTGTGACCTGACATATACTGTTTCCAATCTGTTTTAGATGCTGAACGATATTTTTGTCCTTTTAACAAAAAGTTTTTAAGCTCTCGGTCTTGAACGATATTGAGGTCCCCCGTAATGACATGGCCATAGGGATCATATCTAAAATTCGAAGATTCGCAGTTTCAAGTTAGAGAAGTATTATTTTCTACATTGATGTCTGATATTACTGACGTGTAATTAAAAATTAAACATCTGTTGGTTTTTTTTGTGTATATATGAAATAATAGTTGGTTCTGTGTTATCAAAATAGGGAGGCATAAAGTTTTGAATGGTAGAGTAATTAATTATACTCGATAAGTTGGTGAAATCGATACCTCTGCTAATATATTTGATTTTCAGAAAGTGCCGTTAACGATCTTCCGGTTCATCGATTCGCGGGAACAGCCTATGGTGGCAAAAGCTGTTATTATACACGAGTATTAATAGAGTGAGCTGAAGAACGAGATTGTGTCACAATCCTTGAAACTATCATGTAATTTACAAATTGGTATTTGACCCAGTTTACATAAAACTTGATGCCTATCATTGTTATTAAATTTAGATAGGAGATCATCAAGTGTATACTTTATACGATGTTTAATTCGTTGATTTGGATTTATACGTTTACCATGCAACCTATTATTTCTTTGTCTTTTATCAACAATATTCATGATATCAATATAATAAGTTTTAGATGTGTTTCCTTGTCATTTAGACCCAGGGGTTTGCAGTCTGAAGTCGTTTCGATAATTTTACGGGAATCTTGAAATTTTTTATGCGATTGCCCTTGTTGTTTCTTGATCGTTTCGAATAGTTTGAATCTCAAAAATTTAATATTGTGGTTGGAAGAAAGTATATGTACTTGTAAGCAAAACCAAGATAGGGTCACATATATTTAATAGAAAGACTTTAGTAATGGGCTATAAAATACATGATCCTATGTATCGAGATATATATCTCTTTTCAACTATCTTAATCTTTTCAATTCATAAAAGTACTCATATATCAAATTATAAACAACAAGGTATAGATGCTTATGCAGTTTTTAGAAATGAATTTCCGAAATTAACAAATTGATTAATGCTAACAACAGCAATTTTTTTAAATGATATTAAAAGATATATATGATCATGATTAACTAGATATAAACTACTTTCATATATACGAAAACTTAATTAATTTCATTACGTATCTGAACACGTGGTAATAAACAAAAACAGCATGCTTACTAAAAACGAAAGTACAATCGTTGTCTCCAAACTCATATATGCATAATTTATCAAATGGAAGCTCCATTAGAATGTCGAAACTTACCACTTACAATATTTAACTAAAATTTAAGCTGTTTGCGAGAACAGTCAATAAAACGCATTAATTCATCAGGACAACTGATCAACTTGCATTAACGATTCTGTCCAACGGTTAAGGTCAATGATCATAAAGTTCTAATCCTTAGAAACGAAACCGGACAACACTGTACACTTTCCGTAATCATGTGACTATATATTTTCCAAAAATGTTTGTATTAACTATGAGTTGTAAAACTAATTAACTACTTATAAATATGAATTCACTGGATAATTACCCTGGTTATTCAGTGAATAATTCACAGGGATACTTGACCGACTGCTGTAGGTCGAGTAATTTGTCACTACAGCAAAGGAAAGTGCAAGAAAGATATATTTAGAGAGAAAAAAATATATTGTGATTGTGTTTACCTAAATGTTGGTAAATTATATTTTGTAACTTCTTAGGTTTCCGGAAGCGGTATAGATGTTCCTGTGTTTGTTTAAAAATGAACATTGGGACCGTTTGATGTATATTTGGACCATTTATAATAAAAAAAAAATGAATAATAACTTTATAATATTGTTAAACTAAAACCAAAATAAGCATATACTACGATGAAAAAAAAATTGTACGTCAAATGTGATAAGTGAAATGAGCATATGGATGTTTATTCTATCAAGGAACCGTATTGAAAAAAAACCAACACCTTGATTTCATAGTGGACTGTAATGGCCGCAATCGTATAAAGGTTCAGTTCATTATAACGATGTCATAAATCGACCAATGTTCAAACCTGACATCGAGAATAAAATCATTTTTGTGATTTTCATGAAAATTTTAATTTATGTTATCACTTGTATCAGTGTCATTCTATATGTCGATATTGCTGTATGATTATACCCGAGAACGTTCAGATGTCAACTATAATATTTCTTAAAAAATTAACACCCAAAAGATAACAAATAAAAAAAAGGAAAAGAACATATACAAGCCAAGACATAATATATATTTCATAAATCACAGAGGCTAGGTATCAATGACATAGAAAGCCAGTTTATTGAAATGTATTAACAATAAATAGTACTAGAACACACCCGCGAAATCGCGGGTATTTAGAGCTTGGTTGAAAGTATGTAAACTGTTGTAGGATGAATTTTTGTAAAAGATTTTATGTCTGGAGAATTTCTGAAAAGGTATCAAACTGAGTCATAGGCATTTGGAGACAGGACAATTATTTTAAGCCCTCTCCCTTTTTTCCAAAGTCCGTTATTTTTTTGCTCTCTATTAAATTCCATGATTTTCGCGTTTCTGTATACTATGAACATACATATAATATAAATAAAGTGTATTTGCTATTAACTATCAACTCCATCCACGGCTATCACTGCTATATTATAAAGAGAGTCTCTATATATTTTAGGATTATAATCTTAGTATACAAGCAGAATTTCGCGAAAATAATTGTCCTGTCTCCGAGTAATTATGAAAATTATGTTTAAAGAGGGTAGTAAAAGGGGGGGGGGGGTATCTGCACGGAAGAACGCGAAATAAAATTGCCATTTCACGATGAGCGATCAATTAAAAATTTCTTGCACGTTGATCTTTTTTCCGATTTCAAGAAACACGGTGAATAACGAACCTTTTTCACGATTGCACATGCAATAAAAAGTGGCAAAACACGTTGCACGAAAATAACCCTTTACCCCCTCTTTTAAATTTTAAAATCGGAAGTTTTGGGTATGACTTAAAAGTCGGTCTGATGACGGAAACAATATCCGGACGCCTTTTTCTTCGTTTTTCTCCCAAAATAACCCAAACTGAATAATCATAAGAATGGTAGACAAATGCGACTATGCATGGTACCTATAGGACACAGAGGCATGATGATTAATTTATTGAGGAAGGAAGAGAAGCGACGCACAAAATGAGGTCTTCTCGTTTAAAAGTATAGATAATTAAGATTTTGATATATGTCAGCACTCGTGTTATAGTTGTATCATGCGTCTAGATAAAACATTCGTAGACTGAAGATTGTAATGATATACGGTGAAATAATGTGCAGGTTAATGTATTTATTTTCCATATTGAATGACTCGACTTGATTTGAAAAATACACTGCACCTTGTTAATGTCTGCATTCAAATCTTTCGCGTATGGTCGACTAAAGCGGTTTACTTCATCCGAAAAAAAATGTTTTGTTTATAATTTTAGGGATTAAACATATCGAGTGATTTAACCTAAATAATTTAGTCATTTTTTTGTCCACTACAACTCTATACTGGATTTGATAAAATGCAGTGTCTGGACTAGATTCCTTGTTTTTCAATGTTTTAAAGAAGAACTGTTATGAACGGAGAGAAAAAAACTTTGCATATAGCGTCTATTGTGATAAATTTTAAACGGCTGGTATAGACGTTGGAATATTTTTGTCGAATGCTGTTTGAAAAGTAATCAACAACGTTTTAGTTGCAATACGAAATGTAATGACTATGTATCACAATGGTGATTTACCTAACAACCCGTAACGCTGCTTCGAACAAACTAGTCGACTTTCATTTCGACACGAAACATGCAAAACATTACAAATTCAGTTAATGTAATACACCGCACTTCAGCGTTATAACCAACGTCTCAATGGTTCCGCATCTTACTACTACTTAGAATAAAATGGTGAAAGATACAGATATGTTGTTTTCAAATCAATACAATCTAAGGTTATCTTTGGTTATCTTTGGTTCATTTAAAGTATTTGTTTTTCTTCTAATTTCAGATTAAACAAACTGTGTCCTTCATGACCATTTTGACAGTCATAATGGTTTGGTACAGCGTATCTTTGTATGCCCTTTTATATCCAAATTCTGAGATAAGCTGGACAGAGATCGAACACATTATGTCAAATGGTTATTGGGTGTTATTTGGAGAGTTGAACTTAGATGCTGAAACATGTAAGATTTGATTTTAGTTGAACAACTTGTCGGTAAAATTTCTCCAAAAATAGTATACGGGAAAGTCTACAAATATAAAAAAAAAAGAAGATGTGGTGTGATTACCAAGGAGACAACTCTTCACAAGAGACCACATCACTGAATTACAGGCTCCTGACTTGGGACAGGTAAGTACATACAGATGTGGTATGATGGACAATAAGACAACTCTCCACAAGAGACCAAATAACACAGAAATTAACAGCTATAGGTCACCGTACGGCCTTAAACATGTTAGCGGGATCCCAACCCTCCCCATTACCTGGGACAGTGGTATAACAGTACAACATATTATCGAACTATGAAAATCAGTTGATAAAGGCTTAACTTATCAGATGGATATAAATAGAAATACATCTAACAAAAACACAGAGTGGACGTGGCCAGATAATTATAATCCATTAAGACCTACATCTTGGAAGATGCACATTCCATTATTATTTCCGATTCAAGTGCATGTTTTTGCTCAATATGTCACAACATTTTCTTTGATTGTTTCGAATACGTTAACATTGATAGTAGCATTAAAAAAACAAATAATGTGGTGGTAATATGATTCAATCAAACAATGTACTTAATAACCGTCAAATAAGTGTGAGTACAATCCAATGGTTTTGCGGTCTTAAATCTTAAAATACCAAAAATACTCGTTGTTTTATCGGTTGCATTATCTTCCCGTTTGAGACATTTTGACTGTGAGTGGATTTGCAAGACAATTGACAGATTAGAACTTCAGTAAACAGTTGCCAATTTTTTTTACGAAAAATTGTTCCCATGCACTTAGGGACGACATCAAAAGATCAATGTAGTAAACAAAAATTTCAAATAGTTACGGGGTGGAGGTAAAAATTGCTGCAAGTTTTGTTTATCCGACATCGATTTTTGGATTGAAAAATATGGACTTAAGTTAAGGAATTTTAAACCAAATGAAAGCCATCAAATCGTACTGGAAAGCAAGTTTTTGGCTAAAAGTAATTGGGCGAAATTAATCATAGTATCTACGTCGTTCAAACGCTTCATCGATCCTGAATTTCAAATGATATGAAACCCATATACAGATCAACAGAGATTGTTTTGGTCCACACGGCATGGTGGCATTCTAAAACAAACTATTAAACTTTCTTTGAATTGTGTTATTTTTTTAATTTTTAAAATGCCAACTTTAATATAAATTAAAATACAAATTTGAATATTATAGAATTTTTTGAGATAGTAGAAAAATGTGACAGTGGTCAACACTAGACAACAGACATTGAATAGAAATTACATATATCTTATCACATTCACTACATTCATTTAGGATTATGCTTGTCCCTCTCCCCACAATTGGCACAAATGCACCGCCCTGTCATCACCATACATTTCAATGGACCACTATTTAATTGAATAAAGCTATTTTTATATGAAACAATGAACTGTTGTATATTCATTTGAGAAAAGAAACAAAAACAATATAAACCATAAACCCACTATATGTCCATGCCAATAGTGGGCGGATGTAAAATGCAGAATCCATGCTGAATGTAGTGGTTATATAATTATAATTTAACAGTGCTTTTTTTGATGCATACTCAAAATACACATCACTTTTTGTCAGTATTTTCTAAAAGTGATGTCCAAGTCAATGTACAGAACAAACATACGTTGTTGAGTAAACAAATATGTGGATTAAGTTTTTTTTATCCTACATTGAACTTATGATGTCGTCCCTTAAGCTAAAAAAACAGAAATTACCTATGAAATTACACAGAGACAATGGAAAATAATCGACAGAGTATAAAAATCGAAGACGTCTGACTTCAAACAAGAATCCTTGACACACGTGATGATTGAAAATTTCGACTTGTCAACCTCCCATTTCTCAACAGTAACATACCCTCTGCTCCATCGTATGGTGCTTACATATTTCACTAATTCGTTACGCTCGTGTAAATTCACACTATTCGAACCTCTTTAACTGGGGTGTGCTTCATACACTAAAACTGTTCCGACAGAGTTATGAGGAAGAACGACTGAAATCAATACACCGTACGTTTTACGGTTACCAGGACGAAATGGTTGACCGATACGATGTGTCGGTGTTTCAGCTGACAATTAACATTTGTTGCAGTCTTATGAATTTAAATACCAGTTAAGTCATCTGGTCTGTATTTTAACAGATATCGTCCTTTTCCCGATTCAATATTTTGACTGAGTATGAATCAGCATATGACCGGTATATACACAATATAAAACGCTAACACTATCGACATATCCGGTCTCTTTTTTTTTCTTTTTTTTTTTATAGTGCATGCGATTCTCTCAGTTTTTGTTTTCTATCAATATTTGCCTATGCTTAATCGATTTACGAGATTTGAACAATGTTAAATAACTATCGCTTTAATCTACATTAATTTTGTGAAAGTTTTATTCATTTGTTAGAACTAGTTTTTATTTTCCTCATTTATATTTGCTGTTATTGCCATTGTATTTCGATGATCCAAATTGGGACACTGTTCATCATTTTAAATTCATTTCGATCATTCGAACCATGTTTTTTATAATTTCGAAGGCAAGATTCCTCGTGTTAGACAGTCAGCTATGTAGGTGTCGGTTACACAAGACTTTTATTTACTTCTTGTTGTCAGATTTCGGTGATTCTATTTGGAATAAGAGGTTTATGGGTATTTTATAAAACAGACAATGTGATTCTTCTGATTTCTCATAATTGGACATATGTTTGCATAGTCTCGCTCATGATAAGGCGCCAATCATTTCCAACCTCGACAGAGAATGAGCTTTCAGTGATCATATAGTACTGTCATTATCTAAAAATGAATTCAAATTGCAAAAGTGTTTTTTTATTTAATATATGTTTTCTCTGGGTACAAATTTCGATATTAATATATTAATTTGGGCTTAGAAATTGTTGGATAAGAATGCAAACATTCATTCAAATTCGATCATATCGCGCTCTCTTTACAACTACAATAATAAACAGTTCGAATCGGGGTAGTTGTCAAATCTTTATTGGCGGGTGATGCAGCATACAATGAATACGCTGTGTCTCGGTTTCATTTGTTGTGGTATCTGCCTCTTCATAGTAACAACGTGAAGTGAGACAGCTGACAAAATTACTATCTGTCGGCTTTCAAAAATTTTCGATTTTGCATTGATGTTATTCGCGGCTTTTACGGCGTCGCCAATAGAAATAACGCTTGCAAATAACATGATCAATTTACCATGTCCTTGTTTAGAAAAGCAAATATGGCATATCATTATCATATGACGTATTTTTAAATAGTTCATTGAAATAAAAAAAAAATAATCACCACGTCTCACTGCTGCAGTATTTATCAGACTTTTTTTTATAGATTCTGTTGCTATTATCAAAATTTTAGATAAAACACAATGCAGGTAATGTATTTGTCCAACTCCAACTCCAGAGCACCTAGTCTATGCAGCGGACTGACCCAGTTTTAACGAACTTGTTTAATTGTACTTTTACCTGAATATCCAACAGATCGAACACACATGAAAACCAAACGCACCCTACAACGATTGTCACTTTCACGGTTAAATTCAACAAACACGACTAATCAAAAATACCTTACAACATAAATAAATCGAGAGGCATCAGAAATCTAACGTTAACAAGAAATACGCGTGATAATAATTTCAAATGACCATCGCAAAATTGACGAATGTGGGAATATAATTAGAAATATGAACAGTGTCGGTTCATGTTAGACAAATATCCGAAATTGAAATTCTGAAAAATGCAGATGTTTACCCATGGGCCAATTATATTGCCTCTTTCTAATTTTCTTAAAAAAGTAAATCGGATATATTGAAGTATCGTACGATTGCGTTACGGTTGTGCTTTTAAAATTCGCACGTGCTTTAAATGCTGGGTAAAAAAACAGTAATGTTTTTTTCTTTTGGTTTTATTTTTCCACAATGTTCAGATGCTCCGTGATTCAAATAAAGCACTTATTAAAGATGCCCTTATAATTTATGAAGTTCTAAAATAAACATATTAACCTAGTTGGTAAACAATTAAAGGTTAAGAAAAGGGTTAATTATGAGATTAGTCTATCGAAATAGCAATGGGTTCTTCGATGACATTTGGGTAACATCAGTTAAAGTCGTGTTTAACGTCATTAGTACCACAGTTGACATTTACGACATATTTTGTTTGAATTTGAAAAATTGATAGACACTTTAAGACATTAATATGTCATGGGGTATTTAGACACTTAAACTCGTTAACTAAGCGTCTTTTTCAACATGTGCCGCTACACTAAGAGATAAAACAATAGATATACAATGTAATAAGAATATTAATTAACTTTGTGAAAACTGTTTTTGTCGATGTGTCTATTTTCTGATTAGTTCTTTTTTATTCTAGTAACTGAACCGGATTGCACATTTAACAGAACAATATATGAAAGAGGTGTTTTACAGCGATGTCCTACAACACTTGGTTTACATCTTGCACCTTATCTAAAAGCATTCTACGGATTAATAACAGTAATAATACTGATGAATCTACTGATAGCTTTGTATAGGTAAACTATGCTTTATAAACACCACAATGTATGGGAAACCAACACTGTCATGACTGTTCATTACTCGATGTGTATTTAAGATATACAAATTGGCCTAACAATATTTTCTTATACTATACCTTAAAATAAGTCTCATTTTTAACGATAGTCAGGGAAAGGCGGTAGCTACCTTTTTATACAAATTTTGTATATGTTTTCTTAAAAACAAAACAATAATTGAGAACAAAACAAAATACAATTATTACAAAGGGATAGGCGAAAGATACCAAATGGGCTTCATCTATTCAGTTGAAAATAAACAGGCAACGCCATGGCTAAAATGAAAAAGACAAACTGACAAACAACAGTACACAAAACGCAACATAGAAAACTAAAGATTGAGCATCACGAACCCCTCAAAAAACTAGGGTTGATATCAGGTGCTCCGGTAGGGTAAGCAGTTCATCCTCTACATATGGCCCCGTCCTGTTGTTCATGTTATTACAACTATTATTCATTCCATGATTACAACTATTGTTATATCTTCAAAACTATTTATTTCAAGTTTACAGTTTTATTAACGAGCTGTTTTATAAAACCAAAACTCTTTCATATCAACCCATAACGAGATAGTGGCAACCTATGTTTTTTGTTTAAGGCGAAAATATATCAGGACATTTCAATCAGCAAATAGAAAATGTATATCAACCTATAAAAATCTAACTTCCATACCTTCATGTTTGTCTGTCAGATATCGGTATCTTATTTTCTAACGTGTCATATGGGCTTCATGTATTCAAATCTGTTCCATTTATTGACTAACTACAAAACAACTACCACAATATCGTCATTTTGAGATTTGTTAACATGAAAATATGAACAACATATTTACACATCGACGTATTTGTTGCAAAATGCTTCATATAAAGATAAAGATAAGAATAGCAATGAAATATAATTCTGGTTAAGGCCGTTCATAATATTTGATGTTACAAGATCTAAGTGTCAAATTACTTCGTTGGTCTAAAATGACAGTTTTACTGGATTTTTAGCACGTTGGTATGATATTTGCAATGCTGCAATACATTGAATATTTATATCAGCATATGTTTTTATTGATAACAGAATTTGAAAGGGTTGATGAGTCAAAATATGTTTACTCATTTCACGTGCCAAATAATTACTCGTATGATACCTCTTCCAAAAGAAATTACCTTCGGTTTTTGACCAGCTTCGCGTCGCTCAGCTTTCAGTTGTCTCTGCAGCATTTTGTAGACAGTTGGTTGATATCTTGCTGTTTACTTTTTGGCAATAATATTATATATTATAACTTAGGATAGTCCGTTTTTATAGTTTTTGTTTTTAGTTTTTGAATTTTATAGTTTTAACATAGATTTCATCATACTCTTTCCGCAACCTATGAATAAAAATCGTGCATTTTCCCTAACATAATTGTAGCCATTGATGGGAATGTTCAGAGTTAATATAATTACAGCTTTGGCTCATAACATGTATTGCACATGTTGCATACACGAATATGCAAAAAGAGTCTTGGAGTAACTTAAAGAAGTTGTAAATGAACTGGTATTTTTCAAACTTTTGAATATTTCCGTGCTTGTTGTTTTCTGGAAACGAGATATTATGAGCTATGGCGAATTCCAAACAGATGACTCTTTGACTTTCATAAACTACTATCTAAAGATAACTTAGTAGCAGTATATCAAAGTGAAATGTACAATCAATATGATTTGACCTTTTTTCTTCGACATCAGGAAATATTCTTACCAAACCATCGTCAACAAAACTTTGGTGAACAATATTTCCTCTTTTTCAATGTAATGGCACCTATAAATTCACATACGTGTGAATATCATATACGGCGATTTTTGTATGAACAATTGAGCATTTGATACTATGTAAGATGTTTTATTAAAAAAAATCAAAATGAGTTCGAAAGCATGACTTTACTGCAAATCTCTTTTGACAGTGATGCATTTAATGTAGTACAGCAAGAATCGGAAGCATATTGGAGGAAGATACAGCTTAATTTTCTTGAGGAATACTGCATCAAAACTGCATTCCCAATACATTTACAGCTACTAGCATTACCTGGAACAATAATTTCCTTTCTTTGTATTAAAAAGCACGGACCATGTGGACGGGGACGAGCTGATTCATGTGAGACTAAAAGTCTTGAGAGTCAGCCAAAGGTTGTTACAGGTAAAAAGTAAAGTTGTTTGAAAAACCTTATACTCAAAATTTGTTTATATCTTTTTCAATTCAACATATTCGCAACAAGTTATACATTGTTCTAGTTACGTCTTTTTGTATCATCATGATTTGAAAATTTCACATCATAGAAAAGATTCACATTGACAGTTGCAACCTAATACATGTAAGAAGGTATTATGTGCACTAGGTGAGAGTATCTTATGTATAGGAGTGATACAGATGGTTTTGTCTTGCTTCAACATTTTTTAATAAATCAATTCTTTTTTTTTCAGTTTTTTTTTTATTTGTATTAATACATTTTTGGAGTTTTGTTTATCAGTGTTTACTCTTTAAATACTTCATTTAGCATAGTATCAGTTACATGATATGTACACCAATTCGTCAAGTTTCCCTTTTAAATTAATAGAAAGTGTCCATACACATTTACAAACAATGTATTTTAAAATTTCAGGTTTCCTCTATAATGCGACTTATGATATTAAGCTTGAACAGACATATGCTGCAGAAAAAAAGAGCGTAGAATCAGCCAAGGGGTACATTAAACTTTCAATGCATTTTTATTAATTATGTGTTCTCATATCTGTTTAGATATCACCCACTTCAGATGATTACTTGAAATGTAAATAATGCTTTAGAATGCATCCACATTCTTTATTTAGGTTTAACTTCTTTGGTAATACGATCCTTTGACTACGTTTGAAGAAAAGGTTATAATACTATTAAGAGTATTTGATGGCACATTTAACACGAAAAGTCCAATTGTATTACCCCTTGTATTTGTATTTTACATACACGCATAATTGAACTTAATTCAAGAAAGTATATGATATAGCAATTTCAATGATGAAAGCTGTCCTACATATTAGCTGGTTCAAAATATCCAGTCTAGACCTTACTAATACATTACGCACTTACAAGCCGACATAATGTTTTATCATCTTGTCAAATATATGCTTTTGAAAAATATGACATCATATATGTATTTGGTAAAACAGACGTGTCAAAAAATGTTATTCATTTTCTATATTTTATTGATGTGAAATGGTTAATTGTTTTTTGTTTTTTGTTTTTTTTGTTTATTTGTTTTTTGTTTTTTTTAATTTTTACATTTGCCAGGTGTTTTTTCTTGATGCCTAACACTATTGCAATGCCATTTAAAAAATTATTATTTAATGAGAGTTGCTTTCAAGTAAACCGGTGGTTTACCAATAGTTTATTCAAAACAGAGAGTATGGACCATTTTGATTTTCTGTTGAATAACATGCCTTCTTTGTATAATGTTTCGCGATTAATGTTTTTTTTTTCTATTTCAGGAAAATAAATCTCTCCGCTATTGACGCAATTACGGTAAAAATTCATATTTTCTATAACAGTGAATCGTCGTACATGTGTCATTGTTCCGGGTATTGTTGTCTGTATATATATATATTTCATGGAACATATTGGTAACATTGATATACATAAAACCGTATTAGCGAGATATTTCATCAACCTTGGAAGAAGTAATAACGGGTTTTAATATGTTTTAATAAAGGGTATAAATGCATGTCCATTCTGTAAGATTCACATCTTATAATTTAGCTTACACATACTGTTATGATCTTTAAGGTTTTCTTAACTTTGCGTAGAACATAACTTTCAATAACAACAGTATTTTGATATTGAATTCTTATATGTTTGTTTAACTTTCATTAGCAGGACGTGCGTTTAGATAGTCCTACATTTAGTGAAAAAAAGAGAACACGTAGAATTTCATCAAATCTGGTTTATCTTCAAAGATTGTAATGAAATTACCTCAAATATTAAAGTTTCATAAATATTTCTTCAAGATTTAGAAAATCCTTGGCCTTTAATATGATGATTCAGCATAAATTCACAGTTTATAGTAAACAAGTGTTACCCTGGGCCCTGTATGCAAAGAAAATTCATAAAATATGCATAGATGTAATTTGTATTGCTGGGAGGTGCTTATATTTACTCTTCGCAGTCATTGAAACTAATATATCCTTTATGAACATTGTTGGTAGAGTGTTTTATTTGCCCTGTTGAAAACCCATATGTAAGCTGGACCACCTGACTGTTCTCTCTTGTGACCACCGCTTTAAATACAATCTAGAGATATAAAACTACCTTTATAAAATAACAATAGTGTGTCCTATCCTAAAATAAATTAAATATTCCATATTCACACAAAGAGCAATATTTTTTGTAAATTTCAGGCCCCAGAGGCACAAAACTGAGAATTTCTGGGTCATAAAACAGATAATTTAACCTGTTAAGCCTACGATTTTATCGGAAGTTATAAAAAAAAACAGATTTTCTGAAGTCATTTCTACAAAACTGTTGATGAATCTATATATCAAACTGGTTACTTCATATATATATTTTTTGCAAATATGGCTTCGTTTTAACACTGCAGCAAAATTATGTTATATATATGGTAAGAGATGTAATTATTGTGAAAATATTTCTGAACTGCCCATTTGAGACATAAATTGTTAACTTTTATGAATAAATGGGCATAAATTTAGATGTGAACTGTAGATAGAGGCAGGATAAAATACATGATTAACTATTAAATATACTATTATTCATAGTATTCTGAAATGTTTTCAATTTTTTATCAGAGTAGTTTCATACAAGTTCTATGCATTTCATATCAGAAAACCTGCACATATGGCGAGCAATAATTAACTATTGTTTTCAAATTATTTACATTTGAAACAGGGGTTCGGATATTTAATGTACAGTATAAGAAAGAAAACTTGGAGTACATGCAGTGCTTTCTTTTGGGCTATGATTCTGATATTGTTGTGAGAAATAGAGTTTTCAAGATTTTTCTTTTTAAATAAAAGTCAGTATAATAACGTAACTCATTTGTTCTGTGTGAATTTCCCTTTGTGAGGTTAATTATTAAAAATGTTTTAATGTATTTGTCTCTTTGCACTTCTGTTACAGTATCATTGAATTGGATTAGTAGATATTTAAAGTATATTTAAATAAATTATATGTTATTCAGGTCTCAGACATTGTACATAATGTGACATTCCCGGCTTAGAATTAAATATTCCCTGAGCCGTAAGCGAAGGAGATATAAACCCTAAGCCAGGAATGTCACATTATATACCCTGTCTGAGACCTGACTTACACATATATAACGGATTACCCCTGCCTCGATGTTTGATTTTGCTAAACATTCACAATGCAGTAAATATATTCATTACATGCGTTTTGTTTCTTATTGTTTTGAGGAATTCATATTAATGCACTTTTTTTCATCTTTACACACATTGTGTTCGTTAGGTATATTTTTCAACAAAGTTTTAAGATTTCTTGATTACTGTTTGTTTGTTTATATGACTATTTTTTAAAACAAATATAGTGAAAAACCCAACCTGATATTTTCTGCATACGTGTAAATTTTTGTAATTAACGATGAAAATAATTTTACCGTGTATGTAAAAATTTATATTAACACTTTAAAACATTAATTTTAACTATTTGAAGTGTAAATTGTGTGATTAAAAAATAAAAACGTATGATTATGCCCAACTTAGGGGCATTATGTTTTTTCGGTCTGTGCGTCCGTTCGTTCGTCCGTTCGTCCATTCGTCCGTTCGTCCGTCCGTCTGTCCCGCTTCAGATTAAAGTTTTTAGTCAAGGTAGTGTTTGATGAAGTTGAAGTCCAATCAACATGAAACTTAGTACACATGTTTCCTATGATATAATCTTTCTAATTTTAATGCCAAATTAGAGTGTTTACTTCAAATTCCCGGTCCACTGAACATAAAAAATGATAATGCGAGTGAGGTATCCGTGTACTATGAACACATTCTTGTTGACGGAGCCACGTCATTATTTTTCCTCTGTGAGCCTCTTACATTCTATAAGTGTCCTGTTAAGCTTTAGATATTCACATAGAAACAGGTTTTATTGCGAAGTTGTTGAGGTTTCAATTGGGATAAAAACGTCCTATATACCCGGCAGTTTACTAACTATATACTGACATCTCTGTGTTTGTTCCAATCACAAAACTCGACAAATTTGTAATCTGTCATATATATTTCCAAGAAAAATCTCCTGCTCTGCATATAATTTGATTTAAAAATCATTCAATACAAAAAAAAATATTAAACGAGGACGTCGAACATCTCAGTGTATTGTATACCTTTTCAGACAAAAATCCAGCTAGATAAGATAGAAGAAAGGATAGAAGATACTACAGAAACGGTATGTTACTCAATTGTACACAATTCATAGCGTAGCCATTTGAATAATATGAAAAGTATCATCACTATTTCTATCTGACCTTGTCAGTCTTGTGTGTGTGTGTGTGTGTGTGTGTGTGTGTGTGTGTGTGTGTGTGTGTTTTTTTATTTGATTCAATTGTATGCATTGTGGTAAGTGTGGCATCCATTTCGATGAACTAGTTTACATCATTGTTTAGGGGCCAGCTGAAGCCCGTCTTCGAGTGCAGAATTTGCTCGCTGCGTTTACCAACCATATTGAAGAAAATTCAGAAAAGCGCTTCGGATGCATGACATTTATAACGTGTTGTTTTCATTTTTTCTGCTTTTTTGTCGAGTTTAATCCTCTTTGACACATTCCCCGTTTCCATTCTTTATTCTATATCAACAAACTTGAGAAGTCATCAAAACGACTACAGTTCTGGTCTGTCGTAGATTAAGTTAAAATGCTCGTCTGCTCTAAACAAATTCAATGGACTTTAAAAAATAGTCGAAATGCCTGTTCAACATAAGCTTTTGTACAGTTTTTAACCGCATCCATCTGTCCGTACGTGAGTTAAAAAATCTACAGGTGTAGATCACAAAGACAAGTTATTATTGATTTTTTTTCTTGAAATTTGACAAA